ACTGTAACCCAAGCCTTCTGAACATCATCAGCCAAATATCTGAACCTACTTCCATCCCGTGGAATGCAACTGTTATTCCTACTCCTATACCAGAAAAATCACCTCAGTGGTGGGATGCACAGAGCATTGTTGGACTTATTATCTTTGTACTTTGTCTCCTGTATTCCAGGTAAGATAGTAAGTTTTATGTTTTCTGAATTATAAGCAATTCTAACATGATCTGTTATTTATTATATTTGAATGTATCGAATAGAAGCTTTCTTTCTCTTTAAATCAAGGGACATTAGTTTTGATTTAAGTGTGTTAATAACTTGATTAAAAATACTTTACCATGTCTTCTAATTGTAGTAAGATTTGTACTTATTAAATTCTTTCAAGTTAATTAACTAAATATTAGTTTTCAAAATTCAACTTATTTTAGTTGAAATTTGACCATTGATCTTGATATGAAAAAGATCCTTGTTGTTTTTATAAGCTTCACCAATGGTCCAGTTTTATTCTGCATCAGACTCTTGTACCCGTGGCATCCTCTAGGTGTGGAGACTTCTAGACTTTTCAGCAACAGTCATGCTGAATTGGTCTTGAGAGCTATATAAATAAAAAGAAACTCATTGCTAGAAATGAAATCCATACAACTAAAGGATACCCAAGTTGGGCAAAGTGTTCTAATGAGTTCAGAAGAGCTTGCATAACATTTTCAATTATCTTTGTTCTGAAATAGCTTAGATATTTGGTCTCAATTAGTATTAACAGCAGTTTTTTTATTTATGCCTGTTCAGAGTCAGCAGGTGACTCTGTTAAGTAATCAGAATAAAAAAGATATAAAGCAAGTTAACAATAGCAATCACAGCAATCCAACAAAAAGGAAAAAAAATACCCTTAGTACTGGAAAATCTTCTAATCAACCAATAGTCAGATCTTAATGATCTATGGAATACCAGAATCATTGAGAACACTAAAATTTCGGGAAAGGGAATATTATTTCAAAGAAGGAGCAATAACTGGGGAAGCTTTCTCCCAAGGTTCTTATAAATGTCATTCCATAAAGGCAGAGATCCTGAGGGGAACCCAACCTCTTAGAGCTTATTGGATGATTAAAAACCTCTGATAAAAGACAGACCTGGTCCTGAGTCAGGAAAAACATGAGGTGTGATAACCAGCTTGAAGTGTGTGTGGAAATGAGTTGGTATCTGGTGCAGCTCATGAAGTAATGGTACTACATAGCTAAACTGACTAGTATCTAAACCATCCAGCTGCTGCATTCTGAACCATTTGCAACATATGAAGCTCAAGGGCAGTCCCAATGCAGACAGCTTTGCGATAGGCCGAATGAGAAGTAAGCAGGGCAAGAGTGACTGAATAGAGTCTTCTGATTCAGGAATGGCCATGGCTGGTGCACAGTTTGCATCTGTGCAAAAGCCTACTTAGCCCCAGTGGTTCAAGTGTGAACTCTGAATCAGGAGGACTTTCAGATTATTGACCATCTCTGAACAAGGAAGCGTGATCAAAATTGGCATATTACTGGAATCGGACGATTTCAGAATTAAGGAACTCTGTTTTGCTGCCCAGTCTTGTTATTATAATAAGATCCGGTTTTATTATTATTATTTTGCCTCCAAAAGAGGCGCCAGGTCTTATTTTCGGGGGGGGGGTGTCTTTTCCACACAGCTCTGCCCATCCGGCCCACTTCTTTTGTGGCTAAAGGAGCAACTTCATTCTGCAGCTGAGAATGGAGCTACGGCCTGCATTTTGCAATCAAAGGCCTTCCGGAAAGGCCTCTGACTGAAATGCAGGCCTGGGGATGCTGCAGAAGTGGGCCAGCGAGGCCTGGCTGCAAGGTAAGTGGGTGCAGGGCACATGGGACCGCTCCACACCCCAACCCCAGCTTGATCTTTAGGTGTGTGCCTCGCCCCTAAACTAGGGCTTATTTTTGCAGTAGGGCTTATATTAGGCCCACCCTCAAAAATCAAGCTAGGGCTTATTTTCAGGGTAGGTCTTTCAGGGAAACATGGTAGGATTAAGCTTGAGCCTTTGTCCCTATCCAGTATAGCCTGCGGGTACTGAACCTCATCTCCTGTTCAGCCTGCTGCAACTGAAATGTATATTATACATCTGATTATATTATATAAATTATCTGTGTTCCAGATAAATTCTCCCAGGAATTTAATGTAGATATGAAATGGGAGAATCTAGTCCTGTTACAACAGAGGGACCAAGACTTGATGTCTCACTCCTCACACGGAATCAAACTGCTCCCAAGAAAGAACCCTATTTATAACAGTGCCTGGCACTTTCAGCCATACAGATGATATAGAACAGGCATGTCAAACTTGTGACATCACGTAGCGTCGTGCGACGTATTGGGACTTTTTCCCCATTGCCGGCAATGGGGTGGGCGCGGTTTCGGCGTGACGCATCCGGCCCATGGGCCGGCAGTTTGACATGCCTGATACAGAAAAATGTCATGACTGATGCCATGATTGATTTTAGGGAGCCAAGAGATCAAGCAAGAGCATGAAGTTGCATTTCTGCATCTCAATCTTGTCACAGGCCAATGTGACTGTGGTCTTCATTTTATACCCAGACCTAAAACCAGGCTGAAAAAGTCCAGTCAATCTGTTTCCTGCAGAACTTTGATTCAGACCCACTATTTTCTCAACAACCTTCCCCATATAAGTTAGAGACAGGTTGAATTATTGCTGGTTTGGAATGATGGTTTCTTGAGAAGGGACATATAATTGCTTCCTTTTAACTACATGCTTTGTTTTCAGAACCAACAGTAGCTGGTTCATAGAATTGAATAATGCTGGACAGCTGTAATTAGTTAAAAGTGCCTTTTTTTTATAAGCTAGACTTTTGAAGCCTTTCTTGTTTTGCAGCATCCGATCTTCTAACAACAGCCAAGTGAACAAGTTGACTCTGTCTGTCAGTGACAGTGTCATTCTGGATGATACACCAAATACAGCTGATGTAGAAGATGGAGAAGTCCGCCGGGTTTTGGACAATGAAAAGGATAGTGTCCAGTATAACTATAGCGTCTTCCACTTCATGCTAACTCTTGCTTCCCTCTACATAATGATGACTCTTACTAATTGGTATAGGTGAGTATATTCTTTACAGCAATTTTAATCAAAAACTTTGTTGCTGTTGATAACTAACTCAGTATGGAATTGTTTAAATATTAAGAACAATTTTGTTTTTTTAAAATTTAGAAACAGTTAATTTTTGCACAAAACTAAAGTTAGGATTCACCTTGTGACATTGAATAAGACTTTCTTCTGTATAGACTGGGAAAGATGTAAATATTATTTCTGAATAATACTTCTGTAATTAACCCCAAATATTTGGCAAGCATACCAAAAGGTGTATAATTGAATTATGCAATAAATTAGCTGAAGACTTTCTACCAGTTGATTGAGGCATATACTATTTTTATTAATTTTACAGTCCTGATGCTGAAACTAAAACACTGAAAAGCAAATGGCCAGCTGTCTGGGTGAAGATCTCCTCAAGCTGGGTTTGTCTTCTTCTTTATATCTGGACTTTAATGGCACCCCTGATTCTTACCAATCGAGACTTCAGTTAAATGGTAACTTCTGTGAAAGCATGGAGATATGACATTCTGCTCTGCTGAAAGCCAAAAGTTATGTATTGCTTCGTGGAACTAAGGCTCCGGGCATCATTCCTACAACAGGCAGATAAATAGAAATCTAACTTGTTTAATGCTTAATGCAGAATCTAAGTGCTGTACATATTGATGTGTTAAATTCAAAGCTAGCATTCCTGTTTTCTACTACAGCTGTGCTGTTGAAGGATTTCTTAAAAAGTTTGTGTAAACATTATTGGAAGTATGAATGGAAAGTAATATATTCTAAAGTTGTTCTGATATTTCACTGTATGGAAATGAGTACCATTGCTGCATTGCTCTACATTCCATTTCAGAAAAAAAGTATCTGATGGAGCTTTGAATAATGGATAAAGTGTTTTTCTTATCAGAGAATAGCATGCTAATGTAATATACCAAGCCTATAACTGGCAACTTTTGGGATCATTGTAGAAAACAAATGTTATAGGAACCTAACATACTGCTAAACTTTTAATGTTTTACCAATTAGTTATCTGATTTACTTTCAACACATTAAATAAGCAATGTTTGTTAAACCTAGTATATCATACCACTCAGTTTGACATTATTTGCACTATAAATATGTTTTATTAAAACTAATTTTTTAGTGTTAGTTTTGTTTGCTGGTTGTTTCAGCAGTTCTGCATATGATTATCATCTAGTCCAAGCAGTGAAATTTGTCTATATCTGAAAGCAAGTCATCATATAACTTATTTGTGGTGTTAGGCAAAGAACCTTCATGCGGGCTCTTGATTCATATGTTCATATTATAATATAAAAGCTTAATTAGCACAAGCACATAAACTACATGCTTAGTTTTTAGCCTGTGATTATACATACACTTTTGCACAGAGAGATATCTATGTTCAACTGATTTCCTATTCTTAGTTGCAGTCCCCTATGATGGTGCCCATCATTTTGAGAACTTCAGCATGTAGGAAAGCAAGAGGCAGCTTGAAAAACACGTAGCTCTTCACAAATTGCATTTTTCATTTCAGATCTAATTCAGTTTTATATATTTTCCTTTACAGTCTTATAAACGTATACTAGATTAGACTTTAATAGAGCTGGACAGTCGCTTCCACAATATGTTAAATTTTAAATTTACCGACAAAAGAATTAAAGGGAGACTAGTATAGCTATTTGAAGTCTCCCTTTAATTCTTTGTCGGTAAATTTAAAATTTAACACACAAATAGTCTGTTGCAGAAACGACTGCCTGTGAAGGCTCCCTAGATTGGGGCTGAAAGGTGAAAGCGGAAGCAGTATGCTCTGTCCATATTTGGGGTAGACCAGGCTGCCCTGATAGACCGGGCTCACTGGAAAACGCTTCAATGACATAAAACATTGAAACAGCATGTTTATATATTATTTTAATATTAATAAGGTTTAATATCCACTCATGCAGACAGACTGTTCATTTTATAAAGTGCAGTATAAAAATAAATTCTCAAGGTATATACTCTTAATTCTGTACAGAGAGAGAATAAAACAGACCCATGAACAAAACTGCAAAACTTAGCCATAGAAAACAAAGCACCTCAATTATCCTCTGGAAAAATTATTACCATTTTTCTACTTCAGATACAGATTAACAAAGGCAATTTGACATTTCTAATGAATTCCCAATGTCTTTTACTTAAGGCTTGTTATTCTTGCACCACATCTGCTTGGATTTTGTTTATAGAAGAACTGATATTAACAAAAAGATCCCTACAACCAAGTTGCCAGACAATATGCATATTAACTACTTACTTTACTTTTAAACCATATATGCTTAACTATAGGCACAACATCAATGTCTTAGTTCTGTCAGCACTTTTTCTAAAACCAATTCTACAGATGAACAAGATAACAAAAGCATGGAGGGCAATTTAGGCTACGCATCTTAGAGTTAAATAATAGCCACAAATTTACAAAACCTAGTATTCCAATATATCTGGGCAAAGAGATGTGGTTTACCAATAAAATGTTTAGTACAAGGGAGGCAAACATTGAATTGATATTCAGTTATTATTTAAATAAGAGCTCTTAAGATAGTTACAAAAAAATTAAAATACTGTAGGGAAAAAAGAACCATTGCATTTTAACTTTTTATATCATCATCATTCATTGTCATTTGAGACTGGCTTCTCATTTAAGGGGGAAAAATAGACTGGGTAAAGTGTACTTTAGAATAGAAATTATAAGCTTCCACACTTTTCTAAAGAAAAAACTTTTTCCTGACATGTTACACTGATTTCTAAAACATTTTGTAATTCAGATTAGTTCCTTTATAAATATGTTTCAATTTCAGCTGCCAAGCTGCATAAAGATTACTTCCAATAAGGAAAAGAACATCCATTATCATTTTAACATATACTTCTCATATCTAAATTTGACCAGCACTTTCCTACAAGAATACATAAGCAGAAAAATTATATCTTGTGCCTTCTATATCTTTAAACTTCTTTCCCTATGTGTCTGTAGGGGGAAAAAAACACTAATGTGTATATAAATTTAGCAAGACAAGAGAGATGGGTAGCAGCGTAGAAACCAGTTTCACATATGCTTAGATAGCTATAATACCACACTGGGTTTGTATATTTAGAACTCTAATTGAAGCACAGTCACATGACTAAACTGCTTCACTTTTTGGCAATAGAGAAGCAAGTCACTAATTTAGAAAAACTAAAAATAAATACGTTTTGGCACTGGCAATAACAAGATCTACAGAGAACGTAATATTTACAGTAAGCACCAACGTTCTGGTCTTACTTGGCACTAGGCAAGAGCCTCCGTCATAGTTCCAACAATTTAAAAAGTGCTATGAGCTGCTTCCTTATGAGCAGCAGTAAGTACAAAGTTCCAGTCTGTTAGTTTCAGCCTTGCATGCGAAGAATGGGCCCAAAGTACCTGCAACTCTAGTTAAATGTGTAATTCAAAGACAAAACCTATCTTCTGAAAGATGACCCACCACCAGAGATGATCTAACATTACATCAGGGTTTTAGATACTTTCCTATATAGTATATTTTATCCTAGAGGTGAGACCACTGGCCTTAGGAAATGAAGCCAAGATCAAAATAGCACTGAGGTTCCACTGACAAAATAACATAGTGAATGAGGAGAAACTACCATTTAGAAATGAAATATTGTGCTTGTAAAATGTCCTGTGTTTGGTTTGCAGAGAATATTTCAAAACTTCTCTATAAGGATATCTAAACAAATTATCTTTTTTTTTATCAGACAAACCTTTACAGTTATCATGTCTGTGGTTTTCCTCAACCTCTTTTCATGAGGCAGGTACCAACTAACAGTGCTATACCGGTATACAAAATTATGTGCCTTCTCAATTGGTCCTGTCTTATGCAAATTCAAGTACGGGAATAAAATTGGCTCACGGATTGTTTGATGCTTTCTTTATAAAAGGGAAAAAAATGTGTATGTGCTTTCAACAGAACATCAATAGCTAACTGTTTCTGCAAGAATCAATTTCAAAGTGTTAACACTCCCTGTAGTATACAAAGCTGCAGTTTTGTAAATAATGCTGAAGTTTATAGATGGCAACAAAATAAGAACTGGCTATCTTTTAGATTAGTTTATGGCAGATAAAACTTCTAGTCAACTATCCTTGTATCATATAGTTCACATTTCTTTCTTCCTCTGCAGAGTTAGCACTATATTACTGCACTTCCAAATTTGTACATCATTTTTGCCCCCTTCAGCCTGAGAAAGAATCTAGTGCTTTGCACCTAAACCTGCTTATTTGGCAGCAAGTCCCACAAATTTTAGTGCAACTTCCTTCCAAGTAATTGTGCTTAGGACCTTGTTATCAGTAACTTTTCTTTAGCTGTGTTCATTTGTGGCATCTGAGTTGCTTTGGGTCAGTTACCACAATAACTTCCAGCTTGCTCAAAATTTTTTCCATTTGCCACTGTGCCACAGAATCTCACTTTCGTACAACTTTCTTCTACTTAAGATTTGCTTTGGTTCCAAAGTAAAGTAACATCCATCAACACTCATATGTTGTAGAAGCATGAGAGAATTAATTTCCCTTTGTAAACAGCAAGGTGACATTTTGGAAGCTTTATCTGCTATACTAATAGCAGGAATAGAGTTGTGTTTTGAAGCTTCGCAAAGAGTCATCATGCTGCTTCTCGTCAATCTCTTCACTCATTAATGGATCATGTGGTGAACAGTCACTGGAGAGAGGCAGCTGTGAGACATCATACATGAAGTCATCTTCTGACGCCAGCAGTAGCTCATTCCAGGTAGAGATATCAAGCTTTCCTGCTGTGCCACCATATTCTTCAGGGAGAATTCGTGGTGGAAGGTTGTGATGAAGAGACCTCAAGTCGGACCCATGAAGAAAAAACTGAGAAGAAAAGAACCTTTTCAACACATTTCCAATTCAAATTAAATGTATAATATTTTAGAAATAGTGATGCAATTTCCCTTTTAAGCCTAGACAACGGTTCGAAGTATTTCTCTATATTACAGGTCTAATTGACAGCAACATTTGAGACTAGGCTGATATTCTTGAGAATCATAGGATAAAACTGAAACAGTCTCACAATCTTTATTAACATGTAAAGACAAATTTTCTTAAACTATCTCAAACAGTTTTACGTTATATCCTGTTGGATAAGCTTCATTTGGACAAGCTACTGAACTCCATGAATAAGCAAAGATTACTACTGTTTGGATGAAAAGGAAATCAGTTCAGTTTTGTACAACTCTCTAGAGAAAACAGGCTTTACAGAAGACCATTTCCAAAAATTGATGCAGCTTAATATTCACATGTATTATTTTCCTTTTAGAATGTCTGCACCTCCTGGATTCTTGCTTAATATACAATGGTGTGTGGACTAACAGACAGGGATCGTGGTTTCATCCAGGGCTAGCACCGGCGGGACGCTCGGTGGGCAGGGCGGTGCTAGCGCCTGTGGGATGTTCACCACTACGAGTGGGGGGGTGTGAGTGCACGCACGTGTGCGCGTGTACTGGCCATCCCTTCACGTGGGGACCCCTATCCTAGAGCCCTCCCTAATATCCTTATAGACACTATATGTTTCATACAGCCATATTGACTACTTACCCGATTTGCTATTTTTTCCTTCAGAAATGGTTTGAGAATAGCAAAAATGCCCTTGAATATGCGAGGTTCATTTATGATATTGACAGCTTTTATTCTAATCGGAAAGCCATCCTAAAAGAAAGACATGCCAATAACATTTATAAAGATTAGATTGTTTAGAAATAACTGTATTCGATTTCAAAACAAACTCATTCAGTCTTATTTCGTTTATGTAAAAATAATTTTAACCACTATGCTCCTTACACATTTCCACTATAAATTCTGAATGGGATAGAAACTGCTTGTTTCAAAGAGAAATTGTTGGCAGAATATGTGTTTCTCAAGAATAACAAGAGATTTTAGCATGATGCTTTCCTGTACAAATAAGGTATTCCTTTCTTAGCAAAGTTACCACAGGAGGAGCATTTGTCATGTCAACATAAATATTTTCAAATTTATTATGCCTTAACATTTTATGGATCAGAGTTCACTTCATCTAAAACATGAAATATTACCCTAGGTTGGCAGAAGTGGGCTGTGTAGCTATATATATATAGGAAGAAGAATGGGTTTAACACTGATGTTAAAGATACATTTGCAACACATCCCAGTCAGCTGGGCCCGATGACGAGGTCCAAAAGCCGGATGCTGGCGTTATCCAACGCTATATAAGTCACTCCCGTAGTCTAGCCTTAAACCCTGACGATGTCGGAAGCCTTCGACGAAAGCTCGGTATTTATTAAAAATTTTCTACTTTGAATTTTCCTGGTGATCGTGATTGTTTTATCGTTTTGATATATATACACATACATACATACATACACACATACACACACACACAAACATTATTTGAAGGCATCTGTCTGATTCTATAAACTGCTGTTCAAGCACAAGGCTTTTAAGATTAATATGTTAAAAATACTATTCAGTAGCTGTCTACATTAATGAGCATCAATTAATGCATCACAAACGTGTAAAGAATACAAAATATCACTAAAAATGTCCAATAGCATGCATGCATGCATAAAACAGAATTTTTCATTCCAATTCTTTTCATGTAGAGTGCAATTGAAAAGCATATATAGGTAGCCCTTGCTTACTGACACTATTAAAAAATCAGCTCTGTGACCAATTCTTACAACAATGGCACTATCCCACGGTCACATAATCACCATTTGTATGCTTCACAATTGGCTTCTAACAGAGTTCTTGGAGATGTGGAAGTAAAATTGCAAATTGCTGTCACGTGATGTCTTGCTTAATGACAGTCACACAGATACCTAGAAGCATTCTACCCAGCTAAAACACTTAGAGCTGACATATCTACCTTTGGGTGAAAATATATAAACAGACAGAAATGTTAGGCAACAGAGAATATTGGAAGTTAATGGGGTTGTAAGGTTGCTGTATAAAATGGACGTGCTATGTGAATCTAGGCACATAGGAGGAGAAATCTGCAACAGAGAATCTGAGAGCAGCAAACAGGCCCTGAGATATCTGCAGAATGAATTGGCTCATGGAAAAAACCTGCAGGATTTGGACAGGACAGAGCAAACGTCAGGGAGAACAGCTTGCCAAAAGCCCTGAAATTCCAAGAAGCTCAAAAAAGAGTTATTTTTCCCTTTTTCCATTCTTCTCTGTAGCCTAAAAGCAAGGCCCAAAAGGGAAAATACTGAAGAGCCTATCAAAGCTGTGATAAGGAACATACAGGAATGAGGCAATTAGGAAATTTTAAAAGGCTCCATATAGAGATGCCTTTAGAGTTTCTTAAACAATGGCCATTGTATAAATAAACAGAATTATTTATCTAAAAGCACTGTAAAAAACATCATAGTAATTTATAGAAGAATAGTGTGCCTGGAAAGCTGATATTCTTTTTCCCAACATTGAATGTAAGATGTTATAGGAATCACAAATATTATCGTTGTAATATTTCCCTTGAAAAAAATGAACAAAGCATTTGCATTTTGCGTGATTCCCCCTGAGAATCAGAAGAAGCAGTAATTTACACTTACTATTTTTCCTCTAATGATTTAAATCTTACCTGAAGAATTCCAATCACTTTTTTCGCTATAAAGGGGCCAAACTGAGATGCCTTAGATAAACTGATTCCATTGTAGTCTGCAAGAATTACGATTCCATTTACCTGGGTCTCCTCAGACTGAACGAGTTTTTCTAATGTTAAGTATATGGCACGAATGTTTTCAGTAACTGGGTAATTACTTGGTGTCCATCTATCTATGATGAATAAGACGAGACAGATGTTAGAAGTTAAAAGAAAGCCAAATTACATTACAAATCTGAATGTTTTCTTTGCCTGACAATTATTAATAATCCTATAAAAATCTCTTTCTAAGCTCCCATTACCTCTTACTTTAGAAAAAGCTTGTTTTAAGAAAAATAATTAAACAAGTCTACTGAACACACTTTTCATGGTTGGATTCCTAAGATTAAATAGAATTAATACCTTTAAGAAAATGAATGCTGAGATTTACAATCCTACACAAATATACAAAGATTATACAAATAATCTTCAGAACAATAAGCTTTGAGAATTATCTTACTTAAACATTAGTAATAATACATACCAATATATTTATTTAGTAAGTGTGGGGAAAATAGGAGGTGGGAACGTCACATATAGTACTTTAATTGTACAAAATAAAGACAGGATATCAAGTAAACAATATAAAGGTGGGATATAAATCAAATAAATAAAGCAAGCAAACAAAAGATTCATCCATCTTAAAAAGTTAAGCATACCTGGGCGAATACAGACAACATGGCGTCCTTCATTATCTAAATGAGAAAGCACAGTGACAAAGCCAGATTCCAAGACAGCCTTTACAGCAGATGGCTTCAGATTTGTAAAAACCTCAGGCCAACTTCTCCTACAGCAATGATAGTTCACGAGAAGTTGAAGTGCCCGATCGTAATCAAATTTCCTTGCTCTAAGGAACCTAAGCAAGAAAGCGTCATCTAGGCAAGTCCCCAGATTAGGATAATCTTTGCACACCATGTCTCTGAGGGCCTGAACATCTCGAAGCCGCCACTCAGGTTTTTCCTGCAGCTCTTCACGTGCTTTGGCAATAAGCTCAGCAGACAGCGTACACACGTATGTTTTCTGGACTGGCAGGATCTCAATTCCTGACAGAGATCCCTCAGAGGGACTTCTAACGGTGCCATCACTATCTCCTGACATTGGTTAGAGAAATATCTGGGGGGAAAAGTGTGACAAAATGCAGACAAAGAAAAATGACCAAGCTGATCACCAACTTTTACAAACAAAGAATTTTGGGCCGTAGTATACTATTATGGTATATGTCAAATAGCAGTCCATTCCCATTTGCCAGTAATAATTTTTAACAGCAAACGTAATTCTATAAATTAGAAAGAGTGGGATATACATGATCACATGATCATGGGGAAATTTATCACCTAAATTCTCAACCACTCAGAATATTTGATTGGATTGGTGCTTAAATCACTTCTCTTTTTGAGATGGGAAGTGATAATTTACCACCCCAAGCAATGTAAGGCTTTCATTAAACAATTTCTAATTAAAGAAATTCTTGCAATTTATGACTCTACATCTTTTTTTATTGACAACCCTGTACATGCGTTCATTTTCAAGTGAATATTCATAGGAAATACTTACTGTTAGAACATCACTTTGGCAACTCTGTTTCTAATTCTGTATGTTAGACTACAAAGAGAATATTACTTGTTGTTCTTGTTTTTTCTGTAACAACTCTGCCTCCGCCCNACACTGTTGATGACAGATGCCTATCACGACCTCAGAGGTTGACCAAATCCAAACTATGCTAGTCCATGTGATGTGAAAAGACTGTTTCTCCTCTCCAAGGGCATTTCAGAAGAGCCAATTTAGTCTAATGGTTAAGGCACAGGCTAGGAAGCAGAAGATGGGTGAGATCAAGTCCTGCCTTAGCTGTGGAAACCAGCTGGGTGACTTTGGGCTTTGAGTCATTCCCAGCCCAACCCATCTCACTAAGTTGTTGTTGTGGGGAAAATAGGAGAAGGAAGGTGTGTTGGATATGTTCCCCGCCTTGGGTTGTTGGTAAAAATGATAATGGCGGGATACAAATAAATAAAATAAAATCTCCTACCCAGCCACTGGGCGAGGTGATTCTCCGCCCACTTCCATAGTCCTTAATATAATGGAAGGAAGCAACCCCGTCTAACCCCCAAATCATTCATACGCTGCCAGAAACTGAGCAAAAAAAGCCCGCCCTGCAGCAAGTTGATCTCTGACCAGTTTATTTCGGCATCCAGAACTAAGCGCCATTGAATTCAATAGGATTGACTGCTAAGTACACCTCCCCAGAAAGCTGCTGTAAAAAAATTCCACACTTGGACCGTCACCTACTTCCTAGGAAGCAGACGGGGACGACCACGAACCCCATACCGCCGTCCCAGCCGCAACAGGAATCAACCACAGTTGCGCATCCAACAAAACTAACAATCGCCTCGCAAACCCCGACACTCACCAAAACACCAACCCCACTAAGCGGAAGACTGTTTCCAGGAGAACCGGATCATAACCCGGAAGCGCTCAGTCAGCCTCCCCAAGGCTCTTTCCGGTGAAGAAAAAAGGAAGAGTGAGCATGCGTGGGGTTTCTCGGCGCAAGCGGCCCCACGAAGGATTGTAGTCTCTAGGTTTAAAGCTATGATTCCGTTTCCGGATGTAAACGCTTAGGCACCGTGGCTAGGAAAGGTAGACTAGAGCAGACACAGAACCGTTTTTATTGCAACCTCTTAAAATCAAATTTCTTGCTGCAGTGGCGAAAGTTTATGCAACAACAACAACAACAATAAGAAGAAAAAGAAGAAGAAGAAAGAGGAACCACTCCTGCCAGTTCCACTGAAAAGCCAGTTGCTAATTGAGTCCTTTTATAAGAGACGTATAAGAATTAGTGCCCAACCGAGGTTACACATATATGCCTTTATGCATTTCAAGGAATCTGCCCATGTTCACACAGTACAGTGACCCGCATTTTTTCCAAAGTATTGATTTGTTTTTTATAGTTCAGTGCGTTAGTTCCTTTAACCACGAATAAACGTGATGTGCAATTACAGGTTATAATGTATTGTTTTAACACTGATAGAAAATAATTGAGAGATTGGCTTTGGGGGTCTTGTTGAGCTGTGCAACTCTCAGAAAGTCATGTCTAATGGTCAGATGGATTGGGTGAAAAGATTATAATTATGCAGTGCATCTTTATGCGCAAAGAAATATTGGAGTTCATTTTTCAAAAAATAGAAACCTATGAAAGAACAATACTTATTTTTACTGCTACTACTACATGTAGTCCTTGAATTACGACCACAATTAAGCCCAAGATTTCCATTGCTAAGCAAGTTGTTAAGTAAATTTTGCCCCATTTTATGACCTTTCTTGCCACAGTTGTTAAGTGAATCACTGCAGTTGTTAAGTTAGTAACATAGTTGTTAAGTGACTCTGGCTTCCCCCATTGACTTTGCTTGTCAGCAGGTTGCAAAAGGTGATCTTATGACCCAAAAACACTGCAACCATCATAAATATGAGTCAGTTGCAAAGCATCCAAATGTTGACCATGGGGATGCTGCAGTGGTCATTAGTGTGAAAAATGGTCATAAGTCACTTTTTTCAGTGCCACTGTGACTTTGAACGGTCACCAAGCAAATTGTTGTAAAACAAGAACTACATGTTTTACTACAATTCCCCTTCATTCTGCTGAAGCACAGTTGTGTTTCAAATATCCGGTCAACAGAGGGAGCCAGATAGCACTTTGCAAAGTGAATCCTATTTAACAGAATAACAGAAAATTTCAAGAGAAAGAATTCTTTTAATGAATTTGAATTTTTGAATTTTATTATATTTATACCCCGCCCTTCTCCCGGAGGACTCAGGGCGGCTTACAGCCAGTTTAAAAACAACTTAATACAATACAAAATGCAAAATTTAAGAAAATGATTAAAAATAAATATTTAAATAGGCCGCTTCTACTAAAATTTAGTTAAAACCAATTTAAAATACCCCTAGGCCAGTCCTGCCCGCTGAAACAACCAAGTCTTGAGGGCGCGGCGGAAGGAGGGGAGATCCAGAATCACCCGGATCTCTGGGGGCAGCTCGTTCCAGAGGGTGGGTGCTCCGACAGAGAAGGCTCTCCCCCTGGGGGTCGCCAGCCGACACTGTCTGGTTGACGGCACCCTGAGGAGGGCCTCTCTGTGGGAGCGTATCGGCCGGTGGGAGGTAATCTGTGGCAGAAGGCGGTCTCGGAGGTAA